TTCATGGGAGAAACCCATGAAAACTGAGTAACTCGCCAGAATGGCCAAAGTCACCTCGTTAAATATCATCAGCCACTAAACACAAAGGAGGATGTTGGGGCTACTGATTTGGGACTTCAAAGGGGAGGAAGGCAATTCACAGGGAGATAGAAAAGAGAATGTTTATTACATAAGTGTTTGTTGGGCCATCTATAGACAATGGCATCTTCAGGTATTAGCTCCTTCCTGGAATAGGCCTTCTATCTTAAATTCTTTTAGACAGTTTGGTGGAAGGTCAAAGATTCTTTCAGAGTCTTTTGTTCTTAAAAATGCTCAAGGCAAAGAGACACATTTTGGGGTGGAATATTCTAATCCCCTCCAGCTAAAAGGTTATTCCAGGGCTTTCATTTATAGCTTCTAGAGACGTCTTGCCCATTTGTGGTAAAATGTTAAGTGGAAAACAAAGTGACAATTGCGGTGACATCTGCAGAGCAAAAGGATAGGTGGATAGAGTCTCAATATACACAGCGAGAAACGGGGTGGTGAGAAATTGGATAGACTGTTTTCTTTCTATTTTTCTCTATATTCAAGATTTTCACCAATAAGAAAAAATTGCTTTGGGGTACAAAACCCACAACTGTTTACTGGCGTGTGAAAAGAATTTTATGTTATTTCACATTGTCAACTTTCAAACCTATGTTTCTCTCAATTATTCTAAGAATTGTTATTCAATTACTGTTCCAATTTAAGGCTTAACAACTGTTGACAATAACCAGCCATAGTATTCATGAAGTCTGTTCAAAGCCCAGCCAAATACTCTTTTCAGGGTGTCAAATTAGAAAAATAATGCAATTTAGTAATGAGATTGATGCCTCTATTCAAGGGAACACAATCCATGGACTGGGGAGCACAGCGCCTCACAGGCAGTGGAGCCCCCGTCCCAGGGATTGTGGGCAGCAGGAGCTCTATGGAGCCTGAGAAGCAGCGATGCAGAAAGAGAGCAGGATTATCCAGGAGGTCAGGGACCGCCTCATAAGGCGAGCAAGTCAATCAGCAAACAAGGAGAGAGCATTTGGCTTAAGGTGATTGTCTGAGGTTGCATATCTGACCTTATTTAGAACAGGGAAATCATCACAGGTTCCTGGCAGGTGGGGACTGGCTGGCTGGATAGACTGAGTTTCTGGTCCAGCACAGCATTTACAGGGACAGGAAAGTTATCAAAGCTCAGTTTGCTTATGTACCACCTTGACAGGAACAGCTCCATCTTGGGCCTAGAAGGTAATTTCAGCAAGTGATGTTTGTTTTCCTTTCCTCTACTTCTCTTCCTGCTGTGGTGTGTCTGTGCTCCTCTCTAAGGGGCACCAAAAGTTTATACTCGTCCAAAAGAGACACATTTATAAATATAATAGAGGAAATCTCTTGTTCAGGACACAGTCAGAGCAGCTGGGGCTTTCCCTCTCAGGCCTCATGTGGACTCTGGAGGGTTCTCGTCATGACCCCCCTGGTCTCCAGCAAAAGAGAGGCAGGTGTGGCTTGAGGGAGCAGGACTTCCTGTCATCCGGGTCTTCCTGCTGCTGCCATGGCTGACCCCGCTCTGATGGAGCTGAGCTCAGCCAGCCTGGGAGCTGTGGGTGGGGAGAGCAGATCCTGACTCAGGCAGAGGGGGGAGCAGAGATCCAGGTGCTGAGGTTTGCACTTTTAATTTAACCTCTGAGACCCTGGTGACTTTATCAGACCCAGGACAGTGCTCTTCTGGGCAGCACAGAATCTGAGAAACAATCTAATCTGACGTCTTCATTTCAGTCACATGTAATGAATTAGATGCACACATGAGGACAATTATTAGTGAAATGGACAAGCCCAGAAACCAAAAAGAAGAAAGGCATTGATATATTTTGATGAGAGGACTGTAGATACAATTTTTCTTTCTTTTATCTCCAATTTACATCTTTATTACACTGTGTCCAGTCAACCAGTCAATTTTTTTCTTAAAAAATCATTTGTCTTTTATTAGAATTATTAACCCCATTTTTAAAACCAAGTCATAGTTTTGCTAATGAAACACAGAAGCTTAGACACTTAAAGACGAGAGAAGAACCCATCCTACAAGAAGCCTCCTTGTTTCTTATTATTAAGGATGAGAAAACAATTTGCAAAACGCAGGTGACTCCTGCAATATTACAGGACGTGAGCAGCTGAGGGAGCATCCGAACACCCCTCCCTCGTCTCTACTGCATGCAGCTTTCATGGAGTGAACTTGTCATTTCAAATTCAACAACTTCATCCAGAGCGCCCAGGACATGTCAGGTGGGGGGCCAAGCCCTTGCATAACACTAACCTCAGGTTTACAACCAGTGCAGATAATGAAACGCTACAAGGCCACACTCGTATTCTCAGTCACCAGAGGATGACAGTCGGGCTCCCTGGACGTTCCTCACAAAGGTCTATTTAAAGAACTGAACAAGCCTAGGATTCATCAGGTGTGGGTGCTACCTTTCAAAGAACATGAAAAGACACCATCAAGTGTCCTTTCAAATGCTAAGAAATAAGTCAGAGAATGAAAACAAAAGTGTACTATAAACAGATTATGAGAATTTGATTTGGTGATCAAAAGAAGACATTGAGTATGATTTGTCTTAAGGATGTGTGCTAAGTTAGGAAATAAGATGAATTTAGAATGAATTCCATTATTGGCATTGGTGTTGGTGGTGCTCTGGTTTCCAAAGTGTGGAGCATAAGACAATACATTGGTGTGCAGGAAGAAAGTGTGAGAACTGCTATTTGTATTGGCTTTTATCACATATGGTTAAATCGTTTATTTTTGTGGATGTTTTGTAATATACACAATGCATTTCTACCACAGTTCATGTAACTTATTACCTTATAAATAAAAAATGTATATATATTGAGGGTTTATTCTTGTATAAAATAAAGCCAAGATAATTTGGGGGAATAAAATCAAGAAAATTTGCTTGCCAAAAAGCACAAATTATTATACAAACTAAGTAGACTACTGTGTTCCTGGCACAGGAATAGACAAAACACGGATTCGATCCAATTTGTAAATTTGTGCATACACAGCTAACCGAGCTCTAGCTGTTTCCTTAGAGAAACTGTCATGTGTGAGTGGACACATACATTGCAAAGAAGGGAGAGAGCAGGAAGGGCTGTGTGAGCCTGGACCCTTAGTTATCACAGGGGTGGCGATGAAGAACAGGGGGAGAAATGATGGACGAGTCAATAATTTGGGGGAGAAATTGGATCTCCACAGTCAGATTCCTACCTTACCCCCATAAATAAAAATACAGCTAAAGGCATTTCAAAGAAAAAATGCGCAGAACAAAGTTTAACACTATTAGAAAAATATAAATGAGAATACTTTTATGCTTCAAGGTAAGCAATAGACTTTTACAAACCTGCAAAATAGTTAAAATACATGGTCCCTGGTACAGCAGAGAAAGTCAGAGCTGGTTCATTTAGTGAACAATTCTTCTTGCCTGAGGTCACAGACGTGAGAAGGGACTCAAGTTTCCAGTTGTGGTTCTGGTGGGATTGTCTTGGAGAAATGATGACCTGTTAGCGCAGCCACATCCAGGGTGTGATAAGAGAGGACGGCTTTGTGTGTTGGGAGGAAGCCCATGAGCACCTTTCTAGAATGCATTCTTGTGTCAGGCTCAGGACTGGGCCATTTCAGAGGGAGACAAGTCACCCTATCTGTTATTGCTAGAACAGCAATTCTTACAGATCAATCTGGATAAGAATCAGTGTGGAGGTCATTGAAAAATAAACGTTTTGAGCCTTCATTCTAAGATTCTGATTGATTGAGTTGGATGTTACCCAGAACCTGCACTCATCTTAAAACGTCCCAGGTGCTTCTGATGCAAGTGTTCCACGGACCACAGTTTGAGAAAGACTTTTAGGAGCTTAAACTCTAAGGTAGAGTCAAGGTTAGGAGGATCCCATACACAAGAGACCACACACGTGTGCATTTGGCATGTCTGTACTTTAGTATTAGCTTAACCTCCCTAAACCTGGACCAATATGGCAGCCACAGCAATTCCCTATGACTTGTCAGTTCAAATGCATACTAAGTATTGTATGATTGTCACCCTAAGTGTCCCTTAAGTTTAATGCTTGAGAAAAAAATAATCGGTTAAGATTCATTCCAGTTTATGACTTGGCTATATCAATATTAGGGGGAGGGGTGAAAGGAGCTTGGGCTTGACTTGTTTAAGACAGAGCAGTTCTGGCTGTGGCTGAACAAAAGAAAGCGTGAGTAGAACACAAGGGTTGGCATCTCTACATCAATCACTTTATTCCCGCACTTTCACTGTCTCAACAGTGCCATGGTTGGTTATGGTGAGGGAAATATCAGTTTGTCCAAGAGAAAAATCGGATACCAGCTTGAGGTCTTCATCAAGTCCAAAGTTTTCATTCCATCATTTCTCATTCTCCTGAGTATCATAGGAACTCCTTTCCCAGCCATTGTCTCTGAGTAACGATTGGATAAATGAGTTGGTACCACTAGGCTTACCATATTGCTCCATGGAGGGTCTTGCATGCTCATCAATAAACTGCCAGACCTTATAGAGCCCTGAGTCCTTCTGGCCTCTACTGAGCGGAGCTTCAGCCCTCTGGGAGTTGCAATGATCCAGGGCCTGGCCAACCCGGATTTTAACTTATCTCACTTAAAGAACACGTCTTAAAGGAAAACAGTTCTCTCACGTGAACTGCTGCTCCTGGGAACGCTGCTCATACCAAGGACAGTCCCTCTTGGCAAAACCATAGCCTTTGTCCTCTACCTATATAAGCAAACCCATCTCTGCCCACAGGAAGGGGTGCACAAACCTGTCCAGACAGCTGCGTATGGACACTCCCTATACATAAGTCCTAAAATATCTCTGTATGTTGTATGCCACCTCTGGGTCTCTTCTTCAGTCTCCTTGAACCATATTCTACACTTGTTGCTCAACTGAGAGTGTCGCCAGACATTTTCCTAAATGGATCCTTGAACAGATAAACTCTAGGTGACCTTGTCTGTCCCAGGAAGCAGACTGAATGGACTCCACCAGCTCCTGGGAGAGCTGAAAGAACATGCTGTCTGCCAGACTGCTTGCCTAAGGCCTGGAGATAGGAGAGCCATCGTTAGGAACATGCTATGGCTAGTGGGGGAGGAGGCCAGTGGAATATAAGGGTGAGTTTGGGCATTGAATTCCGGCTCTCTCTTTGTTCAGAGCACAGTGAAGTCAGAGTAGGAAGTGAAGTTGGGGCTGGTCTACCCTGTGTGTCAAGGCAGCTCTTGGCAGCTACAAGCAAGACTATCAGCGCAGGATAGGGAAGGTCTGAATCACTGTGCCTCTCCCAGACAGCACAGTAATACACACCAGAATCACTTCCTTCGAGAATTCTGATTAAAAGTTTACACCTCCTCCCTGTGCCTCCATAAGCATGATATTTTTGGGAACTGATTCCGGATTCCACCACAACCTTTGAGCTGGAGAAATGATAGTAGAGAAGGCGTCGTGGGGCCATCCCCTCCTGGTATCGGTACCAGTGGACATAGTCGCTGTTTTGTGTAATATCACAAGTGATAACAACAGATGATCCAGCCTGCTTGGTGACCAACATCTGTGTCCCTTCCATGTTGGAAGATACCTGAGTGGCTGCAATGAGAACAACAAAAAGCAATGAGGAAGAGCTAATAGGAATTCCTCAGGATGGCCTCCCATTGCCAAAGAAAAAAAGAATCCCAGGAGCATGGAGGCAGCACACTTACCAGGAGCCAGGAAAGCTAGAAGGAGGGAGAGAGCCCGCAGCATGCCTTCCTCCTCGGGCCTTAGAAGGAAAGGGACAGATGACAGGAGGGGGAGACACCCTCTTACACTCCAGACCTGCTCAAAAGACAGGGAGCCCAGGACACAATGAGAGACTCAGAGCCGGGTTCTGCACAGCTGTCACAGGGAAGCAGTGACTGAGGGGCTCTCCTAGAAGACCACCCAGCTGATGACCCAGAGTGGGTGGGGCTGGGGGAGGCCTGGGGAGGAGCCCTGCCTCTCTGCTCAGCCCATTTCCTGAGAGCCTCCTGGGGCAGCCTGAGAGCAGGCCCTCTGCAGAAGAGGAGGAGCCAGGAGCCCTGAGAGCACAGAGCAGAGGGAGGGACAGCCTGAGCCCATGGAGGGGGCTGGAGAGCCGTGGATGCAGCTCCATGTCCCCTGGTGCAAGGAGCGGTCCTGAGTCAGGGGACTTCCCTGCAACTCAGGGTTCAGTGTTCACACTGCTGCCATGGGCTTGTCCTGCGATGCAGCTTCTGTATTCTGGCCCTGAACCACCTTCCTCTCACAGCTGTCAGTAAACTGTGAGGAACCCACAGCAAAGCTGACAAGCACTGAACCTGCTTCAGTAAAAGAATTAGGATCAGTTATGTTAATGAATATTTGAATCTCCTCAAAGTCAAATCGATGTGGGTGCATATGTCTGTGTGTGTGTGTGTGTTTGTGTGTTTGTGTGTGTGTGTGGCAAGCCAATTTGTTAGATGATTTCTCTTTATCCTCAAGTAAAAAGGCCATCTCACTAGAGTTAGCAGGTTTAATAACAAAAACTTATGCAGAGTACTATCCAATATTTGGGGCACACACGAACCAAAAAAGTTTTTATTGTTTATCTGCAATCCGGGTGTCCTTGGGCATCCTGTGTTTGATTAGGCAGCCCTCCTCTCGGGAAGTGTGCCCACATCTGCAATTTTCTTGGATTCACAGATGGGTAGATAGGCAATCAAACAAGAATAGTGAATTCATGGGAGAATTGAGTGGTATGTGCACAGATTTTCACCCCTAGCTTTTATAAATGTCTTTGGACACATGTTTATGGTACTCATGATAGAATGGAGAAAAATGCCCTCTCCGTCATTGTTCTGGCCTCTCTCTCAGGTGGTTCATTCTCTGCCGTCCTAACAGACAGCTGGGAAAGGAGGAAGGGAGGGGACTCGGTCTGCTCGTCCTTCTGCCTTGGGGACCACACGTGCAGGCACATGAGGTGTCGCAGCAGCAGCTCTGCAAGAGAACGTTCCAGGTCTCTGTGCAGGTAGCAAGTTCAGTGCTGCAGAGTCCCAGCACATCCCTGCTGGACTGAATCGTGGTTTAAACTAAAAGAGGAGAAAATGCTATCACACTAAAGCAGAAAGCAAACTCTTTAAAAAATAATCAAAGAAAAGTACTCCACCAGAATGTAAAAAATATATAGCTAGAGTAATGAAAAGAGGGCACTATTGGTGGCAGAATATATTCATGGACCAGAACGTACCCTGAGAGAGACAGAGACAGAGACAGAGAGAGAGAGAGACAGAGAGAGAGGGAGAGGGAGAGAAACAGAAAGAAAAGGCAAGAGAGAGAAGAAACAGAGAGAAAATCATAAACAACAATCTGGATCTAATGTTGTTAGGGGTAATTATATAATGTGGTTTATATGTATATATTTTTTAATTTACGCTGATTCTGTTAGAAATCAGGATTTCAGTATACGGGAAAAAGGCATATATACAATTTTGAGGGGCCAGCCCCATGGCCCGGTGGTTAAGTTGCACACTCCACTTCAGACACCCAGAATTTCACCGGTTTGGATCCTGGGCATGGATCTAGCATGGCTCATCAAGCCATGTTGAGGCAGCATCCCACATGGCACAACTGGAAGGACATACAACTAGAATATACAAGTATGTACTGGGGGGATTTGTGGAGAAGAAGAAAAAGAAAGAAAGGTTGGCAACAGATGTTAGCTCAGGGACAATCTTTAAATTAGAAAAAATTGAAATTTTAGTAAAAATCCTGTGATCTATAATTTGAATCCATTTTTTGGATAAAATTCTTATTTTTTAGCTATCTACTGAAAACTCTAGAAAGCAGTAACCATGCAGCAGTAATGAGCTCTCTCAGCACCTGTATTGTAGCATCAAATACCATTTCTCCCTAAAAGACTAGGGTTCAATTATGAAATGGCTGAATCCATGACTGGGAAGGAGATGGACGAGGTCAATGATGTCTCGTTTGCCTGAAAGCAAAGAAGCCACAAGAGACAACTGAGGTCATGACACAGGACACAGGAATCAACTCTCAGAGTCTCTCACTGGCCCCAGAGAGGACAACATGAGCACCACAAGACCAACACCTACACAAGCATGTTAAAGACACAATATATAAAAACACACAGGCTCATTGATGAAATGCAAAATTAGTGTGTCACCTGTGGACGTTGCTAAGGCACCATCTCATTATTCTGAAAATGGAAATAAAAAGGAATCAAATATTTCCCTTGCCTTTTCTGGACAAACTGTACTTCAGGATACCACAGAGCTTATGAATGAAAGTTCTTCTTTATGGGAGTGTTACAACCAACAAATGCAGGAGACATGTTAAACTTGGGAAATTGCCATCCTGCAACCCTAATGATGTCCTGGGCTAGACGACCACCATCAATGGCTTATGCAGCTCTGCCTCGTGCACTGGCTCTCTCTCCACCATTCTATGTCTCTGTCTCCCCACTGCTGTCTCCATCACTCTTCATACTCCTCGATCTCTCCACCTCTAGGTTCACGCTCTTTCTTTTTCTCTGTTTCTTACTGTTCTCAGTCTCTCTCTGCTTTTCTCTCTATGTCCCTGTCCAGCTCTGTCTCTTCCTCCTTCTCTACTTCTCTTTCTCTCTCTTCTTTCCTGCTATCTCTCTCCTTATCTCTCTATAAATCTCTCTCTGCCCATTTCTACTATCTATCTTTCTTTTTCTATTTCTCCATTTGTATCTCTCTTATCTATGTCACATTCTATCTCTATCTCTACCTCTCTGTTTCCTCCCATGGTCATGATAACTACTTCAAATTCTCCCTTATTCCAACATCAGGGACATTTCAGGATTGGCATCTGTTAATGGTTTTTCTGTTGCGAAATGATGAGATTTTCCTGGTTCTGCACATATTGAATAATTTTGGATTGTATCCTGCACATTTTGAATGTTATGTTAGGGGCTCTAGGCAGTGTGTACATACTATGGTGGATGTTGAGGGTTTTGTTCACAGGCAATTGACCCAGTTAGGGGTTGCAAGTTCCCACCTGCTTTTGGTGGGCAGTTCCAATCAGAGTAGCTTCCAAAGCCTTTGCAGTGCTACTCAGACTTGCCCTGTGTGAGCGCCACCCAGTGGCCAGTCTAGGACCTGGGCCACGGTTTACCCCTAGACCAGTTTGCAAAGCAAATGGTAGGCTGTTTAGGGTCTTATCTATGCCTGTGCAGCTAGCGGGTAAACCCAGTTGTTCAAACACTATTGTGTGAGATTTCTTTGTTAAACTCTCTCCTCTGTGTAATCTCTATAACACTTTCTCATTCACAGGGATCCCCCTTCCTTTCCTCTGGCCAGATAAATGGGGCTTTAGCATTCTTGCTCTGCTGTGCATTTCCTGCAACTGTGTCTGCCTTCAGGGCCAATCAGCAAGAGGATGAAGAGAGGACAAAAGTCCCCAGGATTCTCTCCACGCTCAGAGTCCTCAGAGACAGGGGTTATAGGTGCATTCAATGAGGGACACTGGGTCAAATGTGCTCACTGCAAATTTTCCAGGCTGGGGCTCACTGGTTGCAATGTGAATTCACAGCTCCTCCATCAAGAGGTGCAGGCTATTTTCCCATTTTTGAATATGGAGGAAATTATGGGGATACAGTTCTGAATCTAGGCCTTAAGAGGCCTAATGAACTTCTGCTAGCTCTCTTGGATCCCATCATTGTTGTAAGAACACGTCCAGTCTGGCCTGCTGGAGGATGAAATACCACGTGGAACAAAGATGAGCCGAGGCGACTTTGACCCACCAGTGCCCAGCCAACCCATCAGCTGACCAACATGTGACCTAGTCCAACTATGATCAGCGGAGCCTGGCCCAGAGCAGCAGAACAGCCAGCTGATCAATGGAATGGCTTTGTGAGAATTAATAAATGATTGTTGTTATAACCCACTATGTTTCAGTGTGTTTGTTATACACATTACTATGAAATAGGATAGAAATGGATGGATAGACAGATAAATAGAGGACAGATAGATAGACTGATAGATGATAGATACATACATAATAGACAGGTCATAGACAGATTATAGATAGAGAGGCAGAGAAAGACAGAGAACTTTGTTGTTAGTACCTTTGAGCCAATTCCAACTCCCAGAAACCCTGTGACAGCAGAGCAGGACCCTACCGGTCTTTTGGCTCCCTCCTCTCATGCTCCTGTGCTATATCAGACAACACTCTTCTGCCATGCACAGGGTTTTCATGGCCAAATAACTGAAAGTTGGTGCCCAGGTCTTTCTTCTTAATAAAGAGAAATATAGGTAGATATAGGTTAATAGAAATATAGTATATAGAAAGAGAAAAAGAAAGTTAGAAATTTACATCAAATATAAAACATAAATATATACATTTACATATAACCAATTTGTAACAATATAGAAATATACAATCTGTAATGATATGCATATATCTTTAACTTTCTCTCTCTATCAATATCTACCTCTGTTTCTGTGCATCTATCTCTAGCTTCCTATTCTATCACACTTGATGTGCCCACATATATCCTTTATCTCTATAGCTCTGCCTCTCTCTCCCTCTATCTCCAATTCTCTCTTACTGTCTTTCTGTATTTCTGAAAGGAAAAAACTCTTCAACAACTGAAATGGAAATATGCTGATACAAATATACTTGAGAAATGTGTACAAATTTCATCACTTTTAGTAAAGCCACTTTTACCATTTAACAATATGATTCTTTACCTGGCAATGCCATATGAGAAAATGATTTCTGTGATGACATCACTTTTCTTGGAATAAAAGAATAGATTTATAGAATTCTATCTCTCATGAAG